TTATGAGATAGGACAGGACAGTAGCTATCAATATGAAGGCATAGAGTAGCCTTTCCTAATGTGAAAGACAACTTGTGCATGATGTCAAAAACTAATGCAGCAGCACTGGCAATATGTAAGTAAGATCATGTTAATCCTTCAACCTCATCCCCATAACCTAGACAGAGCCAAGGACACCATAAACTACATGTCAACTACAAACTTTTGTAGTCTCAAAAAGCAGACACTACAAACTTTTCTAATGAAAAAGCGCACACTACAAACCTTTGTAGTCTCAAAAAGCGGATACTACAAACTTTTCTAATGAAAAAGCGCACACTTTGTAGTCAAAAAAAGTGGAGACTACAAACTTTCCTAAGGGAAAAGTGCACACCAAACTTTTGTAGTGCCAAAAGGCAGCCACTACAAACCTTTCTATGGAAAAAATGAACACTAAAAAATTTTGTAATGATGAAAAGTGGACACTACAAACTTTGTAGTCTTGGATAAGCTTTTAACCCTAACTTTGTAGTCTATGGTAGAGTCTTATAGTCTGTCAGTGTCAATTTCTTTTCTAGGGCATGCACATTCCTTTTTTGGTCAATTTTCCCATGATACAATAATTGTAGCCCTTTCTTTTAGCTTTCTAAATATACTGAAATCATGTTGTTTGGTTTTGTTTTCATGGAGAAAAACACAAAAAACAAAAAAAAAATGCGACGCTTTTGAAGATCCTTTACCTCATATCTCCACAATGGGAGCACTTCAGAGTATAATTTGAACACATTTGGGAAGCTACAGTGTAGAGCTACAACTTTCATTTTTTGACCATTTTTGGTAATTGGTCATGTGACTACCCTCCCAGGTGTCATCATCCCTACCCTGTTTTTCACCTAGGCAGGAATGAAATACCAAAAATATCACCCTGGGCAAGCAATAAAAAAATAGCCCTAGAGAGAAATGAAATATCACCCTGAATAGGAATGATAAATGGCCATAGGGAGGAATGAAATATGCCCTAGGCAAGCAATGAAAAATAATGCTAAGCAGGAATGAAATAACAAAAATATTGCCCTAGGCAAGCAATGAAAAACAGAGCTAGAGAGGAATGAAATACCAAAATATCGCAATGAAAAATAGTGCTAGGCAGAAATGAAATACCAAAATATCATAATGAAAAATAGTACTAGGCAAAAATGAAATACCAAAATATCGCAATGAAAAATAGTGCTAGGCAGAAATGAAATACCAAAATATTGTAATGAAACATAGTGCTAGGCAGAAATGAAATACCAAAATATTGTAATGAAAAATAGTGCTAGACAGGAATGAAATAAAGTGGGGGAAAAAAATGAAATGAAATCCTGGGGAGGAAAGAAATAGAAATGAAATTGCAATGATATAAAGCCTTGGGAAGAAATGAGATGCATTTCATAAGCCTTGTCCATGTATTTCATTTCATAAAAAAGCTAGGCAGTGACCAAATCGCTGTGCTGGCAGTTGCCAGTGTTTTATGATAAGAAGTGGTAGGGACTAGTGTTGGAAGGGGCTGCTGCCTCCATGGGAGGGGGATCGGATGTGAGGGTGTTGACTTTGAAGCGGCCCGTGTTCACATTGCTGCAGCCACTCTTCTTTGCATGACAGGCATCGCATGCCTGGCCTTGAATGCCTGTCTCCGCTGTGCATGGCTCTCCCTGCTTGACACATTGATCGCAGGGAATATTGCGGCGGGGTACCACAGGAGTGACTTTGGCACCCATTGCTTCGAAGTCGTACTCCTCGTCCTTGTTGTCCTGAATTGGAGCATGTCCTGTGGTGCTTCCTCCACTTCCTCCGCTTTGCATCCTCGCCTTCTTCCCCTGCATGTTCGTGTTCACTGTCACCTCTTCTTCAGCCGCAACCTCTGCCTTTCGTTTCTGTCTGCGACTTTGACCCTTCATCTTTCCTGACTCTGAACTTCCCTCCCCCTTCATCTTCCCTGACTCTGAATTTCGCTCCACTTTGACAATGTCGACAGTCGCCTTGGCCTTTCCCTTATCCTTGGATGGCTGAGGTGGCTCCCAGCTCATCAAAAGAGCATCGATCTCATCGATCTCATCCTCCTGCTCTGGCTCTGGCTCATCCAGTACCTCCCACGCAAACTGCCCCACATTGGTATCCACAATCTCCATGCACACGCATTCCATGATTGCAGGCATATCAATGTCCTCCAAGCATCGAAGGACATATATGGCTTGTAGATACGTGACCTGAACACTCATTTTAATTCTGATCAATCTGTAGAATTTTAATGGGACATACAATAATTTTTCGCAAGGAAGCCTCCTGACTAGTCCTCTCATCCTCCTCTGCATTGGGGTACTTGGTGTGGTACCAATCCCGAAGAGCCTCTACCACCTTGATAATTCAGGGAACAATAGTTGATGCAGCTTCATGCGTCAGAAGTGGCTCCTTAAGCCATGCAGGGGGGATAACGAGGTAGGAACTTGTGGGTTCGCCCATTGAAGACAATTTGTCGAGGAACAAATGACGGTGAGATGGTGGTGGGAGATAAGAATGAGTGGACTTTGATGGTTCGGCAAATCCAACCATTGCCAAATTCGGGTATTTGCGGTGTCACTTTGTAACGCTGTCACAATGTCTGAATTCGGATCTTCCTCCACCATTGTTCTCAAACACAATGTCATCCGTTCATCCCTCCTGCAAGTATCATTCATTACCCAATGCCCAAAAACTAATCCTGATTTTCAATTTTAGTATTGCCGCCTCCATTGCCTATCCCACCCAAGTGGTCATTGCGCTACTTTGAGGCAACAAATGGTAAATGGTTATTTCTGTGATTTAGTTTCGTAATTGATGTCTCAGGCATTAGAAACATTGTGAAAAACTATGAGGGCATTCCCATGGATGATACTCAGGTACATATGATCTCCATATAACGTGTCCATCATCATCACACTTTCATTTCAGTGCAGCACAGCTGGTTCATCTAATCCCCCTGCACCATCCTCTGCAGAAAGGACGGCGGATGATGGTCCTACACCTCATCATTCGCCCTTTCCCCCCCACCTCAGTCGGACCTTCTATGATTCGGTTGTTCCGGATCTCCCGAAGGTCACTCATCCACTGGAATACACCTGTATCACTTATAAGGTTCTGTACCGTGAGTGGGAGGAAGCCTGTAGGTCACTCAACGTACTGCTGCAGTCTCGGGCACACGCAGCGGATCAACTCCAGCAATTGGACGTTATTATTCAAATGAGGAAATCAGCGCTGGAGCATTGGGGGAATGTTTCGGGGGAACATCATTCTGTAGAGAAGATGGATGAAGCTTTGGATATGAAACAGGTGGTCATTGATTTGATGGATGATATGGATGATTCACCATAGACCATTTGTATATCCTGTTTATATACAAGTGCTCAGCTACATTCGGTGTTTCTCCATTTTTTCAAGTTTGTCTGGGAGTATAAACGAGGGCTTGAATACACATGCGGCCTTTTGTCCTCAGGCCCTTCATTGACCTTATGAAGTCTTTCTACATGTTCATCTTTGACAGGCCGCTTTTCTTTCTGATGGTCGACTGTACACTTCGGGATTTCCACTAATCATTCACAGGTCTTCCCACAAGTTAGACCTTGACAATGGGGCTTTCAATCTATTTTCCACATGTCCTTCATGCAACTATATCTATATTTCAGGGGTTCCACTTGTCGTTACTCTGTCTTTCTACTTGTTCAATTTTGACGACACTGCTTTTGCCGTAATGTGTCCGCATGTCCTTCTTATTGTTGACTGTGCTTTTCAGGCTTTCTGGTAATCGCTCACAGGTCTTTCCACTGGTTAGACCTTCATGATGGGGCTTTCGATCCATTTTCCTGGTGTCCTTCATATATTACGTCTACGCTTCAGGGGTTCCACTCATCGTTACTCCCGCATATTGTTGACTGTGCATTTCGGGCTTTCTCCTAATTGTCACGTGGTCTTTCCACATGTCAAACCTTGACAATGGGGCTTTTGCCGTACTTGTCTCATGTCCTCAATAAGGTTACCTCTCCATTGTGGGGTTTGTGATAACGGTTACACAGTCTTGCCTCGTGTCCTTCGTAATGTTACTCTACGTTATAATGGTTACAGGTTACCTCTGCATTGCAGGGTTTGTGATAACGGTTACATGTTGTGGGGCTTCCACTAATGGTTACAGGTTACCTCTGCATTACGGGGTTTGTGATAACGGTTACACGTTGTGGGGCTTCTGCTAATGGTTACATTGGAAATTCAAAGTTATACTAGGATTCACCCCACCTTTGGTCCCATTGCGTGTACATGGTTTAGGCCATCTATAACTCCATAGCTAATAAGGTCAATGTAAGGCTGCTGATATCCTGGGCCTCACTTTCCTTCCATAGGTCCTGACATACATTGGTCCCACCTATGGCGCCATGCCCTATATGCGCATTGGGCCCATTTGGGTAGCGCTATGGACCATAGGACAATTGCCTGTTTCTATTGTTATGGTATTATAGGGTTACCTTTGTCTACTTGTGCATTAAAGACATGGAAAAAACAATTAAGTCACGCTCTTACCCCTCCCCTCAAAAATGCAAGGAGGTGTGGCAAATTCTGATCCAACAACATTTAGATGCTGGACGGATCAGACCTTCTTCCTCCCCTTGTGCATCACCTGCATTCATTGTCCCTAAAGCAAATCCAAATGTCCTTCCCCGTTGGGTCAATGACCACCATCAGCTGAATGAAAACACGATAATGGACTCACATCCCTTGCCAAGGATTGACGACATATTGAATGACTGTGCGAAGGGCAAAATATGGGCAACTATAGATATGACAAACAGCTTTTTTCAGACTAGAATGCGCCCTGATCATGTGCATTTGACAGCCGTTAACCATTAGTAGGTACCATTTACATCACGAAAATGTGGCAGTTGCCATGAGGCATCTTGATCAGCTACCATGAATGAAATGAAATGATTTCATTTCATTCACAGCACTTATTTCATTTCTTCCAGAAAAGGCGTGTTTCATTCATTTGCGATGATTCTTTCATTTTTTGTTTCATTCTTTTCCAGGGAAAATGAAACACCTTTTGCCTTGTTCTGTTTCATTCTCACTTCTGTTTCATTCCTGCCAGAAAGAATAAGTTTGATTCTGCTTCATTCATTCCTGACAATTATTTCATTCTTTGTTTCATTCTTGCCAGAGGATTGAATATTTCATTCTTTCTGGACAGTTATTTCAATGATGTAGTACATGTACAAATAAGGAAATAATATACAAATGATGCCTGATATGGGTTGTGCCCTTCTGCAGTGGATTGAGGGGCCATATGGGGGTAACCGTATTTTTGGATTTGAGGCAGATATATGCAAAGAGCTAGCAGTGGTGTTGCCAAATAGGGTACTTACATTTTGTTCCCATCAATTATATAATCACCTCCCATCTCACAATGGAATGAAACACATGCACCAAAATGAATGAAACAAAAATGAGGCAGCTCAATGACATGAATGAAGCCAAAATGAAAGAAATTCCAGTTCGTTGCAAGCAGTTCTAGTTCGTCGCTATGGACAGGAATGAAACAGGAATGAAAAACTGTTTCATTCCAACGTGGTAGCTGATCAAGATGGCCTGCAGTAACTGCCATGTTTTCATGATGTAAATGGTAGCTACCAGTCTGTTAACACACCATTGGGTCTTTACGAATGGCTCGTAATGCCTATGGGTCTGAAAAATGCCCCAGCCATTCACCAAAGACAGGTAACGGCAGCACTGTGCACGCTCATCAGTAAAATTTGCCACATTTACCTGGACGACATTGTCATCTGGTCAAGTAACATTGACGAACATGAATGCAATGTGTGCACTGTACTGCAAGCGCTGTGGGATGCTCATTTATATTGCAATCCAGATAAAACCCATCTTTTCTGCACAGAAATAGATTTTCTCAGCCACCACATTAGCATGCGTGGCATTGAAGCTGATACAAAGAAAACCGAACACATCCTGGCATGCCTGAACCAAAAACTGCAACTGATGTACGTGGATTCCTGGGCCTTGTCCAATACATTGCGGCTTTTCTCCCTTCAATTGCTGATCACACAGGCGTACTTTCCGAACTTACGACAAAAGAATCTGAAAGGAATTTTCTGCTGTAGGCGCCAAAGTATCAGATTGCGTTCGATGCAATCAAAGCAATTGTAACTGGGCGGGAATGCTTGATGACAATCAATTTCAAAAGATGCCAGATTATAAAATTTTCGTAACAACCAATGCAAGCGACAAAAGGTCGGGAGCTGTACTCTCCTTTGGACCTACTTGGGAGCTGGCGCAACTGGTTGCTTTCGACTCAATGACATTTAAGGGTGCAGAACTCAACTACCCTGTGCATGAGAAGGAATTGCTAGCCATGATCCATGCCCTAAAGAAATGGCAAGTGGACCTTCTAGGCTCACCATTCTGGATCTACACTGACCACAAGATGCTGGAGAATTCCACCCCCAGAAAGACCTGTCACATCGCCAAGTGCAATGGATGGAATTCTTATCACAATACAATGCAAAGATGGTGTATATAAAAGGCAATGACAACTCCATTGCCAACACTCTGTCCCATTTACCCTACGATGCCGACTCTCATATAATTGACTCTGCAAAACATCCCTACAGTTTCTGTGAAGACGATGACATGCTGTGCACAGTGGCTTCAATATCCTTACGATACTTACAAGGTCCCTGGGAAACCGCAACCGCACTGGCTTTGTGTGAACATTCCTTAAACACAGTAAATGCCACCTTGGAAATTACTGCTGACAAGGTTTTCTTGGACACAGTAAAAGCCAGCTACTTGGAAGATGCTTGGTGCAAGACACTGCCCTCCACATCGGCCAGTTGGCCTGACCTGGCACTCCATGATGGTCTTTGGTACATCGGCAACCGTTTGATAATTCCTAGAGCAGGTAACCTGCAAGAAACACTGTTCACCCTCACACACAGTACTTTACACTCCCACTGCTTGTCCAACAGACTCTGACGGACTTTCATCGGACCCTGCCATTTCCGATGGACTCAGTGGACAGTCCGTCGGAAGACCATCAGAGTCCATTGGACAGGACTGGATTCTGCTGCAAGTCCAGGCAAAGTCCAGTGAAAGTCCACTCAAACTACTTAGAAGCAAGAAATGGTTGGACTGGCCAGAATTCTGTGTCCGTTGGACATCTGCTGGACTTCCGTCGGATTTCCAATGGACAGAGGCAGAAACCATCATAATTGCTAAGTTCTCAGTCTGCTGGACTTCCACTGGACTTCCAATGGACTTTCAATGGACTTCTAAGCAAAAAAGGCACAACTTCCAACAGACTTTCAGTGTCCAGTCTGCAATTCTTATAAGTAAATCTAAACAAGTCAGGCCCTGGTCAGACCTTATGCTAAATTCCTTAAGACATTGAGGTTTCAAAAACAAAGTATATTTTATACCTACATAAATTTATTTTACTACATTCTACAGTGTTCCGGCACTCCTTCGGACACTATCACTCCTTTGGACACTCGGCTCTAACTCATGCAGATCAACATCACTCATCGTCAAACTTGGCATATGTCTGTAGATAGGTATAGAGGTCATGTATATATAAAATTGGATTAATTGGTGAAGTTCTCAAGGTGCTATGAGTAAATTACACTGAAAGTGATCAAATTGTGAAAGGCTGCTATGCTAATCTTAGATTTTGCTCAGATCCGACGAACCACCCATACAGCAAAAAATATAAAACCCTATCGCAACGGTATTAATAAAAGAATTGGGACGTTTAGAAGGAAAATGGGGGCAGAGGAAATGTTACACATACTGAACATTGACGATGTGACTGCACGGTATGGCCATAAGCTGATTTCTCCCACACTTTTTGGCGGTGTCACATGTGTCCGAAGGAGTGATTCCGTA